GTGACTAGTAGTGAGAGTATCTTGTTTGAGGTCTTGGGGGATGCGGGCCATGGTGGGTTTAAGACTGTTAGTGGGTTGGTTAAGGAGACGAAGGAGGAGACGAAGAGGGCTTTGGAGGTTTTTTCGAAAATCTAGGTCTCTGTTTTTGAGAGATTTGGCTTGGGTTTGGGGTTGGACTTTAGTGGTTGTAGAACTAGGAAATGAGATTCAGGGCTCTTTTGAATCGAGATATGGCTTGCTATTAGGATTTCACAGAGTGCTATATGAATGGTCTCGTAGGAACTGGTTTAGTATGGAGTGAATGAATGTCAATTTGTGTGACTGCAGTCAGGATATTACTACTACGCTATAAACCGGTTACTGCATAGTACATGCGATGTCGTCCAACACCGTCAAACGCTCAATTGAACGTCGCCAAATACAGTTACGTTACACGCATAAGTAGACCGTGAATCAGGATTGGACCCCTAATCTATTTCATTTAGGGTTCGTCACGGCTCGGGTCGGTTGAGACGAATTGAGCCATCCAAACGCAGAGGCGCCGCCAATGGGATTGGACACCCATGGTTTACCCGTCCGAGTCTCGTCTGGGGACGCTCGCGACGATGCCGGCTGAGAGGGAACCGGGATTGCGTCGTGACTGGAGCTAGTGGGCACTGCCGTAGCGGATGACGTTCGAGAGGAAGACTTGGTTGGGCGCAAGACTTTCATAGGGCGAGCCCTGGAAGTCTTACCGGCGGTGGAGGCATTGGAATCTAATCTGGTATCGCGTTTCCACGAGCCCCAAACCCCGGCTGGCTCCACCTTCGTCGAGCCGTCCGACGGTGACTCCGCGACTACAGCTGGCTTGCTCACGCTGGTGGGTTCGGCGTTCCTTGGCAGTTCCTGGGTATCCAAAGATGTCTTTCGACTCTCTTCAGGTTCCTCGGTTGAGTCTCTAGCGGAAGCAGATGCTGACCTGGACTGTCGAGACAGACTCCTAGGTGGGCCTATTACACCGACCGAATGGCCATTGGTGTCTGGTTGAGGGCTAGCTTGAATCGACTGTGTCGTGCCCGTCGTACGCGAGGCATCCGATGCCGTGCGAAGGAACTTAAAAGCCGAGTCGTCTTCAGGACGCACGAGAGGGATCGAGATCTTATTCCGCTCATCGTCGACCATGATAATCTTGTCCTGTGAGAAGAGCAGCTCTGCATTATGGGAACGAAGGATATCACTGCCAAGAACAATCTGAATGGAAGGATCATTGACATCGATGTCCCGGACAAGGAATCGAACAGTCAGTGCGGGCAGCTGGGGGGCTGGGCTACCGGGCCTGGAAGATGATTGGTGAATGCTAGCTTCGGGCAGATACATTGGGAGCTTGATGAACTGCAAGTCTTCCTCCTGTGTTACCAAGTCCTCGAGACCCAGCTTTTGGATCATGGGATAGCCCAATGAAGACTTGTAGGATCCCGAGCAGACCGCTGCATACAGGAGCGAGTCATTGGAGAAGTTGGTCGTCAACCAGCACCGTATAATGCAAGGTACAGGGCCAAGGAGAAAAAGTCCAGGTGGAGGAATGAGAGGGGAACCACCGACAGAAGAGCCCATCATTCTGCTGGTGGTTTCCAACCCCAGACTGTTGGTACGCGCCGAGTGATGGGAATGTCCCGATGAGCTTAGTCGTCCGTCAGACCGGTGAGAGAGAGAACGCTCGGTCAGCGGATGGCTCCCCATGCCACTTCCAGTTCTCAGTGGGAGCTCGCTGGTGGACCGACTAGCTTGTCCATAGTAACCGTGAATAGCGCTTTCATCAAACCGAACACTATTCGCTCTGGATGTCCCTCGTCTTGGCTCCTCTTCGTTCTCTATGACCATGGTCCCCCCAGCCCCGTGATGCTGTCCCTGATCGAACCCTTTGAAGGCGTCGGCCGGCGAATGGAAGATAGGCTCTGCAAAAGGAATGAGAGATCAGCTCCTATTCGAAAGCAATCCGAAGACCAAGTGAACACACCTGTGGGTATTGTGCCTGCAACGGACGTAGGAAACGGTGACAGAGGGCCCCAGACGCTTTTCAATCTCGCATCCTCGTCCCTTCGCCGCTCCAGTCTTGCAATTCGCTCCGCCTGCTCGAACTGTGTAGCATGGAGCTCCTTCAGCTCTTCGAAGACGCGCCAGATGTCGTCACGTGAAGCAAAAGGGTACTGAGCATCCATATCCGAACGACTGGACAGGGGTGGCGAACAATGCAACGACCAGGGAAACCAGGACACAAATGAATCAGATCCCAGGAATCAGACAACGCTATGTTTCTCCTCCACGCTACTTTTTGGCGTCAACCGACCAGGCTTACGTAGCTCACGTTATCCACAATACTCCTCCCTCCTCTGTGAGACGGCCGTACGGCCGTCCACCCGGATTGCTAAAGATGAATATCTGCAACCTTTGCCAAAACCATATAAACCTAATAGCAGCTTGATGTTGGGGTGTTCTCACTCAACAACGCTGCTGAGTAATGAGACGAAACGAAGGGTCGAAAAAGGGTGTCTTGGTTCGGACGGAAAGAATGCCGAGTTCACGAATGTCGAGAAATATCCAACGAGGTGAGAAGCGACCACCCCAGCTCGTGTTTGGAGGCCGCGAAAATTGTTGAGTCAATGGTAAACAGGGAGCTGTAGTAGGATCGACCGATGGATTTCTAGCAAGGAGCACCGAGGAGAGAAATGATCTGCTTTGCAGGAGGAAATGCAAGTTGGATGCTAGGACGGAGGCTCCGGCGCTTTTAAGGGAGACTTGAAACACGAGTTGTTAGATTGCTCAAAGAAGATGCAAGAAATTTCAGGAGACAGAAGAAACAAGTTCGTAAGATCGTGGAGGACAAAAAATTAAGCGCTGTAATTTGAAAGGAAGAGTGATGACGAGGCAAGGAATCCGAATCGAAGGTGAAAGACAAGAAGATGAGGGGATGAAATTCAATGCAACGGCTGTCACTTTCTATGTCGGGCTTAGCCTGAGTTTCTTTTTGTCTCCGACGGAGTTTGGACTTGGAGCCGATTCTAGACCGCTTTTGCGCACACTTTACAGACAGTGCAAGAACAGACACTACAAGTCAACCCAATTGGAGCTTATGCTATACTTAGGTAGTAACTCAACGTCGGAGAATTTACAGGAATTTATTCTTTCCATTACGCATGACCTTCGCGATAGAACGTGGTAAACTACCGATCCGTGCGCACCTCCACCCGTTGCCACTGCATACATACTGTAACCGCGTCTCTACCTTGGCGCCTCCAGCATGGGGGGTGAACCATATCCATTGCACTAGGTTCTTCCTCCGGCCACTTCGCTTGAATCGTTTCCATAATCGCATCAAACACTATCCGATACCCATCCGCTGTCAAATGTAGACCTTTTCCATAGGTTAGTATATCAGACACAGAACGCAAAACGAAAAGAATAATACAGACCATCAGTGAAAAATCGCGCAAATTGATCCAGGTTTGGCAAATCTCTTGAGCCCGGTAACGGCTCACCCTCCTTCCAGCCAACAGCAGACATAAATGCTTTCCAGATATCCACTACAGGGATGTCGAGAGAGGCGCCGACTTCGCGAACTGCCTCCGCATATTGCTTAGTAAAAGCGGCGGTTCGGCTGGGATGGGCATTTCCCTTGGATTCGTCAAACCCCTGTAGTTGGTATTCATTTATAGGGGGCGGAGTCAGCAGGATGAGATGTGGATTCTGAGCCACTGTTGCAGGATGTTGGATGATCCGAGTTAGATTCTCTTTATACACATCCAATGGGACGTGCTGAGGGCTGCCGGGGAGACATGCGTCGTTGGCTCCAAAGAAGATAGTCTATTCTCGAGTTAATCTTGATAGGCTACTTTGCATTTCTTGATAAGATTAGCCAGCGTACCATGAACCGCACTGTGGCTTTTTCTGGTGTGGGAAAGAACTTGGGAAAGACTTTGATGGCATGGCCAGAGGTATAGCCACTGTAGGGAAACATGCGATTAGTAGAACTGTTATTACACAAGTCAAATGCTCTAGCGCAACGCACCCAAACCCGCGGTTGATCACATCCAGGCGTCGGCTGTAAGCTGTAAATCTTCAGCTGCTGTATGTAGTCGACCGAAAGAGGCGGGAAATACTACTTACCATCCTGCAGGCCTGCAAATAGCCCAAATCCCATGTGGGGGTCACTGGACATCTGGGTGATAGAATCCCCAAAGAGGATGAATTGATCGTAAGGCTTGTACAAAGCCTCTTCCTTGGCTGCCATTGCGAAACAGGATTGCCCAAGATTTGCTTCTTTACTATTTTCAAGTGCTGATAGCTAGTTGGTGTAGAAGAATATGAAGAAGACAGATAAGAGGTGAGGGAAGATTAAGTATCATACTACGGAATGATGGAGGGGCTTCGTAGAGATCAAATAGTTCATGACGGTTTGTCTCCGATTCAGAATTCTGGCCACTCAGCGACCGTCAAGGATTGCGGTAGATAAACAGTGGATCTCGTAAAAACAACAACTAATTGTTTCTATCTTAAACGATCGACTCCTGTCAACTCCAGAAGAATACCCACTTGAGAAACACTGGTTGACTCTTCTTTCTATACGAATTTGACAAACATAAATGAATAGCATACCATCCGTATGGAAGGCTCAGCACCAGCCATCTACACGCTTCTAGACCGAAGAGGTTTTTCCACCAACAAGCTTGACTCGTGTGCTTATTCAAGTGGGGTCTTTTCGCAATTAGTGGTTCCTCCTCGTCCTGATTTGACAAGGGAGAAAGGATGCACAACTGAAATGGCCGTGTTCGAAAGGGAAAACAGCCAAGTTTTGTACCAGTAAAGGGTAAGGGAAGTTTACCTTCCTCTACCATCGAAGTGCATGGATTAGCCTGCCGCTGGCCAGTGGTCACCATAATTACTTGCTACTTGCATGTAATTTGAAGAAATCAAATTGAAATTATCCAAACATATAATATCTGAACCAGGACAATGGAGCACGCTTAATATTGAACCCATTTCCGCCCCATTGCGTGCACCGCAATAGTGGGCAGCAAACTACAGACGAATATCATAGCACTCGCAACACCTGAACTAGCAGCGACGCCAACGGTTGCAAACATATCGGAGAACCTATTCGGTATCAGTCATGCATCGGCGCGACACTTGTTTGGAACGAATCGAATGACTTACCAGAACGGGCCGAGGAAGCCCCAGATCTGCCGAGCAAAATTAATGAACACCCCCACACTTCCTGCATCGTCTGGGCGGCAGTCGACTGCATATGGGACCATGGCAGCAGTCACGACTTGGTTTCCAAAGGCAGCCACTCCAGTGCCCACGATAGGCGTCACAGTCCAATGCCCCTCGGAGGCCTGCTGAGTACATACCAAACAGACAATAAGGCCCACCATAGTCAAGACAATGCCGGGGTAGCTGAGCCAGAGACGGAATTCTGGGTCTGGTGCCTTTCCTATACGCCGTGCGCGGCGATTCACCCAGTAATCGAATATGGAACCACCGATTTGCTCGCCTAGGACTGTGCCAATTATGATTCCAATGAACTGGAGACCAAGTTGTTCAGTATTGAGAGCAAATTTCTCCTGTAGGAGCTGAGGAACCTCGACGTTGATCAGAACGCTTCCGAACAAGAACACCATGGCATACGCAACGGCTGGTATTAGGACGCACGGGTGCTTAGCCATGGTCAAAGGTTGAATGAACTCCCATAATGTCAGTGGTGTTGGGTCAATACGTCGAAATGAAAGATACTGAGTTTTGAAGTCAGACGATGAATCCTCTGTACTACCACCAATATAACGGGTCTCTGGCCCAAAGAAGATGTATAGGATGAATTGCACGCCATTGGTGATGGCGGTAACCCAGAATATCCAGCGGTAGCCCGCGCGATTCGCAACAAATCCAAAGATTAATGCACCTGGCGGGTAACTGTTAGCGGAGCCAAACACCAGAGCAATGTAGGTTCGAACTAACCACCTGGTACACCCAAGGTGACCATTAAGGTCCATATTCCCAGATATCGAGCTCTCTCTTTCTTGAAGAATGTCTCTACGACAACGGCACTTCCGATTGCTGCTGCTGGAGAGATGAAAAAGGCTGCTAAAGCTCTACATGCAGCCAGCGACGCGTACGTTGGGCTCTTCGCACATCCAACATTGCAAACAAGGCTGAGGATGGTGGATAGCAGAAATATTGGCCGACGACCATACCGGTGGGACAAGGGTCTCCAGAAGAGCGGAGCACCCCCGAGGATAGCAATCTGCAGAGTTGTAAGGTAGCTGGCTCTTTGTACAGATACTCCTAGATCGATGCTAATATCCCCAAAGGCAGGAGCAATCGAGGATGCAAAGGTCGCCATGCAAGCGTGAAAGGCGACAAGTAGGAGGTTGGTTAGTTTCTATGGTAAAGAGAAGTGATCAGATTAGGCTCGAGCTGTATGTTGAGAAGGACTTCGTACCTTCCACATAGGCCAGTTGTATGGGTCTGCGTCTGATGCACTCGGCATGGGGTCCAGGTCCAAGGTGCCATGGCGTTTGAAGAGATATTCACGATGAGATGGAGACAGTGAGTATAAGATGTCATCGAACTGTGATGGGCTGACTTCCGCTTTCTCAATACACTCGCTATCCTCTTTTTCCAGGGAGGAAAGGTCCTTGCTATCTGGTGATGGGATAGATGGGATAGATAGGACCTCTTCCTGATCTTCTGTTCTTTTATTTGATGACATGGCATCGGCAAGAAATGATTATCAACGGAGTCGGCGTCTTAACAGAAATTGTAATTATCTGAAGAACATGACAACACTAAGCAAAGACGGGCAGGGGATGAGACCTGAGTAGCCCTAATCCAGCGGGAGGTAAGGGCTTATAAGGGAGGAGCGGACGGTCCGGCAGAGGGTAGATCGCCACCCCGTTTGTTATGAATAAATCTGGGGTACTTTAGTTGGCCCCAGTGGATAGTGCCTCCTGGAGTCTCGGGTTGATGGATAGATATCTAGGAAGCCTGGGGAGGAAGTCTTTCTATTGTGGGGATTGGACTAGTCCCCACAACACGTCAATGCTAGATTGGGCGCTTCTAGGCTTGTCTCAACGTACAGCTTGGGATCTTGTGGAGAGGTGGCTTGTTCAGCTTTGCGGAATGCTTACGACACAATGATGTTAGTGGACGCAGGGGGAGCCTGGAGAGAGAAAGCTCTTTCGAGATAAAGCTCTCAGGAAGGCCGATTACATACGATCCAGAGAATGCGGTTGGCTCCTACTACTAGTACCAACGTCTATCTTCTGCATATAACAACAACACTACGGGTTACTGTTAAGAACTATGAGGTACATACGGTAGAGTTAGTATCTCCGGGCTTTTGAGGCTTGTTTACTACTAGTAGTTTGAAGTTTGTGGGGATTGTGGGGTGGCCCTGACTTCCGTAGGTCCGTAGACCATGCGAAAATACGAAATGCAGCTCCTTAAATACATTTTCTTTCCACAAGCCACGGCAATATAGAGAGTACGACTTTATAGTTTACCAAAAGAATTTGGCCTTTCTTAGTGTGGGATTACAGTTATAGAACTATACTAGTTATCTACTAGTAGCCCCAGAGCGGGTTGCCATCTTTGCTGCGCCGGCATAATGCTGCTATTAAAATAGATGATATACTCCCATAGATATCTAGTGTGGTAAATCAGTGCATTGAGGGATCATACATCGGTCGTTCTTACCTTGACCCATAGTACATTCAATCGCAAACCCCAAACAGCGTAACAGCCATGCCGTTCCCTGCAAGCTCATCTCCATACAATGAGGCGCCATAGGCATGCCCACATTCTCAACCTTGGGACTCTCTGTCTGGAATACTTGGGTGGATTGCATGGTGCCTTCTTCCGAGGAGTCCCAAAAGCCGTCCTGGTCAACTACCGCGTATAAAAAAGGCACAGTCACCCGCTCGGCATACGAACGCCAGTAGCTCTGCCAAGTCGTGCAGACATCATGTAGCTCGTCCAGAGGAACCAGCTTATTAAGGTCCTCTGTGTATGGGGCGATTTCTGGGTCGACAAGCCATTCTTCATTTGCTTTGGGCGGAAAGTTAAACATCAATGTGTCCTTCACGTTAGGACTGAAATGAACATGCGTTTGTTGCTCGTCTGTTTGGTTCCTGTCACTGTTTCCATGGATATCCCCCTCATTTCTGTGGCTCTTGCACCCGATTCCAAATACGATCAGCCCTCTCTAAGGGAAAAGGGACTGTATATGCACTAGTAAGAGATTGATTCTCAATGCTACTTTCCTAAAGTAGATACCTTATTGATACTTAAATCCCTCGTGGGGAGAGGTCATCAGGGCCAGCCAGAAGACTGCATGCATATCTCGTGGAATGTTGAAATATGTATGTAAAGTTTAGTATTGCATGCCGAGAATGCACTTGTATATGTTAGGAATTGAACACACACACACAATGCATGATGATATCATATTTCATTGGCGGTCAACGGAGGAGAGCACATGGGGATAAGCTAAAAGGGCCATTTATTACTAGTAGTAATATTGAATCACCATACAAACGGGAAACACAAGAGATGAAACAAACATACTGTGTGTACAAGCGAGAGATTTATTCAGTAGGAGACTTTACCATGGAACAACCTTGCTGGTCTAATGATTGAGTCGCGTTCGACGCTTGACATCAGAGTCGCCGATCTTTTCCGTTGGGGAAAGAATGGTGGGGTTCAAGGCAAATTCATGAATGAACATTGGCTGCTCTAATAAAGTTACTCAGTTGAATTTCCATACGCTTTGTTACACGGCGCCTCACGTGTTCTGGGGATGTTCGGGATATACTAACTAGGACTAGTAGAGGTTCAGGTTGTCCATGATTGCAGCAGCTCTTTCAACACCCCCTTTGAATAATATGGATGCATTTTCCGGGAATGTTTGCTTATTCTCAAAGGATCGTTGATCTGTGGCGGATCTGTGAGTCGGAGTTCAGTACAACGACCCTACAGCGTCGGAAGAAAATTGGGAATTTGATTTACCAAATGATGTGCGTTTAGTCCCGTGTTTTGGCTCCATTTATTTATGGGCGGGTCATCTGCCATCGACGCTGTCTTAAAACTATTTATCTTGCGACTATGTCTTGTGTCTCTTCTCTTCCACCACTGCATTCAGGGCTCATATGCTATGAATAGCCCTCCTGCTCCTTGACTGCTTGCTAGATTTCTCCTCAGCCTGACTGCCTTTGTGACTTGACTTCTTTATCGCCCTTTTGTTTGAGACCTCTTGTTGAATCTTAGACCCTCCACGTTTCACCGCTGTTAGCCCAGTTCCAATCTTGGTCAGAACGGCTCACCTGAGCCAACAGAGAATCAAAAGACGGCTTGGTCTCCTCAGAATCTTGAATCTTGTGTCATATGATATGTTTTGGTATACTCCGTTATTCTGGGTGCCTTGCGGGTGGCTTGTGTTAACCGGGGAATCAGATCACCGCGTTTAACTCCGAAGTACTTACCGCTTCAACATGCCACGCTCTGTACCCTCCAACTTGACCTCCTTTGCCCAGGAAGGCGGTCAAGCTCCGAGTGAAGATGATCGCCAACGATCTCTCTCCCGAACGGCTCCTCCCTCCCCGTCCGCGGTCAGGCAACACAGCTATCTCTCGGAAGCACATACCGGTTATCAGTCATTACAACCACCGTTAGAGATTAGTGAAACAACCAGCTTGCTAGGGAAAGATCGAAGAAACAGAGGTGTACAACGGACATATACCAATCTTTCTACAGGCTCCGGGCCCGACGCCAACTTTCGACATAACTTGTTGGCTGGGAGCATCCGCCGATCACGCCATCACAGCCGTGCTAACTCCCAGGCCTTGCGAGTCAGCCGGCGGGAAAGTATAGATGCTGATCAAGCTGAGAGCCTTGCTGCATCGGCCAAAGATGGCCTGAACGCTTCATTTATGGATGATCGAACTTGGTATGATCAATTTACCTCTACCGACTGGGTACATGATAGTATTGCAGATGGCGAGCGCCTTCGACAGTTGCGGGCGCGGAGAGATCTCCGGGGTCGACTCCTAGCATGGTTCGATGGTGCTCAGGGCTGGGTTCTCGTCGCACTAATCGGCTGCATCACAGCGGCGATCGCCTATTTCGTGGACGTAACCGAAGACTTTGTGTATGATCTCAAAGAGGGGTTTTGTACCACGCGATGGTTCCATAGCCGCCAACAATGTTGTGTGGACAATCCTGAGTGCTCTGCATGGTGGTCATGGTCCAAGATGCTAACCTTCTCAAGCACGGAAAATCAGTGGACGGACTTTGGCATGTACGTAGCCTGGGTAGTTATCCTGTCTGTCGTCTCTTGCTTTCTCACGTTGCTCACGAAGACGGTCGTTCCTTCGTCGGTCTCTCTAACGACTTTGGATGAAAATTTGGGTGCAGCTTCGTCGCACGGCACGAAACGTACGGATGCAACTACTGATTCCCCAAGCTCCGATACTAGCCCGCAGGCGCCTTACTCGGCGATTCCCACACGTCCTGATATGGTTTTTTATTCTGCGGCGGGCAGCGGGGTTGCTGAAGTGAAAGTCATCAACAGCGGTTTCGTCTTGCATGGATATCTGGGTTTCAAAACGCTGGTCATCAAGACCATTGCTTTGATTTTCAGTGTCTCATCTGGTCTAAGCTTAGGCAAGGAGGGTCCGTATGTCCACATCGCTACCTGCGTGGGAAACATCTGCTGTCGCTTGTTCGCCAAATACAATCGCAATGATGGGAAAAGAAGAGAGGTGCTAAGCGCAAGCGCTGCGAGTGGTGTTGCAGTAGCTTTCGGTGCCCCCATTGGTGGTGTTCTCTTTAGTCTTGAGGAAGTCAGCTACTATTTCCCTCCGAAGACACTCTTTAGGACATTCTTCTGCTGTATTGCTGCAGCACTCTCCCTGAAATTCCTCAATCCTTATGGAACGGGTAAGATCGTCCTGTTCGAGGTTCGGTATTTCAACGATTGGGAGATCTTTGAGTTAGTGATATTCGTTATTTTGGGTGTACTTGGGGGCGCTCTTGGGGCCCTCTTCATCAAGGCATCAAGTTTATGGGCTCGCTCATTCCGCCGAATCCCTGTTATCAAGCGTTGGCCTATGCTGGAGGTAGTCCTTGTCGCGCTGGTGACTGGCCTTGTCAGCTTCTGGAATCGCTATACTAAATTGGCCGTATCCGAACTTCTGTTCGAGCTGGCCAGTCCTTGCGATCATGAGTCCTCATCGCCAACCGGACTGTGTCCAAACGAAGATGGCATTGGCGAAATTATCCGCTACCTTCTTGTAGCATTCGTCATCAAAAGCCTGTTGACGGTAGTTACATTCGGCATTAAAGTGCCAGCGGGCATTTATGTCCCGTCCATGGTTGTTGGTGGTCTCTTGGGGCGGATCGTTGGTCATGTGGCACAATATCTCGTGGTGAAATACCCAACGTTCCCCTTGTTTGGGTCCTCCTGCCCAGCTGTGTCGGGGATGGAATCGTGTGTGACCCCAGGAGTGTATGCGATGATTGCCGCAGGGGCGACCATGTGTGGTGTCACCCGCTTGTCAGTTACCTTGGCCGTCATTCTCTTTGAACTGACCGGTAGTCTGACCCATGTCCTTCCGTTTTCCCTGGCCATCCTTTGTGCCAAATGGACTGCCGATGCGATCGAGCCCCGCAGCATCTATGTAAGCACTGACTGAACCTCGAGGTACTCTGCTACTGGACTATATGCTGACTTGGACAGGATCTCTTGACTGATATGAACTCGT